ACAGCCTCAAGTGGAGGCCCATGTGCCTGAGCACCTCTGCTCACAGATGTCATCAGCAGAGGAAAGTTTGAGAAACTGTCAGCCTGAGGCACTAAGGAGACTTGGTTGTAACTTCACGTGGTGTCCTGGGTGGGATGTCCGAGCATGAAAAGAGCATTAGGAAAATTAATGAAATCCAAATACAGTGCAGAGTTTAGTGAAAGTGCATCAATATTGCTTCCTTAGCTGCTCAAATGCACTGTGGTCATGTGAGATGTTAACAATTTGGAAATGGGAAATGATATGGGTTATATAGGAACTCTCCTACCTTTGCCACATTTCTGTAAATCTAACAGTATTTTTTTAAATGTTGTTTGAAATGAAATTTAAATTAAAATAACATTTAAAAAAATAGCCCTCAACAAAGTTATAGGTTGTAGAAGGAAAAATGATGAACTTCCCAGTTTTTCCAGTACTACGTTCAAGGGACAGGAAAGAGGGGTTCTGGGAGAAAAGCTGGAAACCTCACACCCAGGGCAGGCTCTGGAGTCTCCTCTCCTCTGAGCCCTGCTTCTCTCACTCCTCATGTCACAGGGTAGTCCCCAGGAAAGGGGGAGTGCTGGGGACCAGCCTCAGCAAAATGTCGTGTCAGGAGTTTCTGAAAGGATGAGATGGCATCGGTGAAAACGAAAGGGCTAAGGGGAAGGGGGTGGGGTAGTGAGGAGACACTGACACTGGATGAGGTGCAAGTATCTTCTGCTGAGGGGCTCAGCAGGTCTTTATTTATTCATTTTTAGCAAGCAGAGGAATTACATTACCATGTGCAAAGCAGAAAAAAATCAGTGTATTATTTTCCCATGGACTACAGGCTCCTACGGGTCTCAGCTAGACGGTAGCCTTCAAGGTTAATAGATAAAAAACTGAACCTTACCCTAAAACTCATTATTTCAGCTAGACAATTACCTAAGACAGTGGATAGCCACCAGTACACTCCTATCAGCTAAAGCCTAAGCATCCAAAGACTCTTTTATTCACATGGCCTTCAGCCGGAGACCAGCTGCTTCTCAGCTATCAGAACTTTTTCTACCTAGAAACTCCTTAACAGAATTAACTTCATTTAAAAACTTTCCTAAGAAACTTCTAAAAAGCAAAAGAAGGACTTACTATAATTGTCCTGGATTGCTTGTCAGGCATGCTCATGTATAACAAACTCTTTCCCATTGTCAGGCAGTCCAAATCTACAGTTTTAATTTTTTAGCAGGTATTTCTCCGTGCCATGTGCTTATAATATTCTTATACATATACTTTATTGCCCAATGTATTTTCCGAGAAGTTTTTTCTTATATGACCAAGAACAAAAAACAAAGGGATGTTAAATCTTCAGCCCCACGGTGTGAGGCACAAGGAATCTTCAGCCCCATGGGTGTGAGGCTCTTTGGTAATCTTCGACCCCACGGTGTGAGGCCCTTTTTCTTAGCTGCTTGCCAGTGTCTTACCTGGCTGGGGCAGCAAGGCACCCTGCAGCAGGGGTGGTTCCAGGTTCCCTGCCCCACCCAAGGGAGGGTGGAGCTGAGCAGGGAGAGAAGAAGCTGCAGAGAAGACTGAGGAAGGAAGAAAGCAGGATGGAGAGCAAGAAGAAGATCTAAAGGAGGCGCATGGAGCCTAGAGACTTGTGAAGAAATTGTTCTTGCCTTTTGGTCGTGGACTGGGTGACACAGATGTGGATGAGACCTGTGGGGAGGTGACAGTGGTGGTTTTTGTCTTGATTTTGATTTTGCTCCTTTCCTTCCAGACTTGTCTGGTTATTTCTGATCCTTTTTCTGTGGGTACCCCCTGGAAAATGCTTTGGACTTGTGGCAGGCTTTGGGGCCTTGCTCTGGGCCAATCCTGCTTAGGTGGACTTTTACCCACGAGGGGACGGGTAACTTTGGGTGCTTGATTTAGAAACTAGATTCTTTGCCTTTCCTGTATTGTTTCCTAGTTGTATTAAAGTTCTTTCCCATTAAAGTCTCATATGTTTTGTGTTGATGCAGCGGATGGCAGAACCTATTTAGAGCAGGCAGGTTTGCGGGGGTCTCGGGTGCCCCTCTCCCTGCCCTGTAACACTCACAGAGCCTCTCACCCCCAGGACACCACCCTCCAGGACTCCCACTCTGCCCCACTCAGACCCTGCTCAGTCCTGGTGGCGCCACAAGAATCCCAAACAGCGTGGCAGTGCCCCCGTGTGGCCCCAGGGCTGAGCATAGGAGACCAGAGCTGCCCTTTCTCCTGCTCAGCCAGGCCCTCCCCAGGCTCTCTGGGCCCCCAGTGCAGGACAGGTCCACTGTCAGTTTAGCGGTCCTCAAATTGACCCCCTAGTGAGTAACTATGGGTGCAGGCATCAGGGAAAAGCCAGATGTCTAGGTCATAACTCTTTCTCCCCCAGTTCTGGTTCCCCAATTTATACAGGTTAAAATAATCTGTAACAATCTGATGGAGAACGGCCTCATATTGAGGCCATTGTGCCTGAGCAGCTCTGCTCACAGATGTCATCAGAAGATGGGAACTTGTACTCCAGGGCCCCTGTTATTTGTTTTTGCTTCCAGGGATGAAAGTGCCTCTTCCTGAGCATCAGCCCTAAATTCTTCATCCTTAGGGTGAGGGGAGGGGCCAAGTAACAGACTCTCAGGCTCTGTTCTAGACCTTCTGAGTCTTCATGAGCATCCAACTGACTCCTGTGCTCACTGAAGTGGGGGCTCCCTGGTCTCTGTGTCTTCTTGATGTGGGGTCACACTATGCAGTCTGCTCTGGGGGTTGTCTGCTCTGTTTGCTCATCACCATGTAATCTGAGGTACAATTCTGCTCTTTTCTCTTGCTGAGTTGTCACTTTCTGGGTGACCCTTACATGCTCAAGACCATAAATGTCATTGACATCCCATTACTTCCCAGATCTATTTCTTACATCAGACATTTCACCTGTGCCCCAGACTTGTCTGTCCAACTGCCAACATCACTTTCAATTCTAATGGATCCGATTCAACTTTCCTAAATTGAGTGCCTAGGATGCCACATATGGTTCTTCTGGAGTCTCCCCATGTCACTAGGCCCCACATTTCTGCCTGTGCAGTCTGAAACATCGTGTGTCATCCTTGATCCCTTTCTCACAGTCCAGCAGTAAGAAACACTGTGAAGTCCATGTCTACATATACACAGTTCTATCACTTCCTATTATCTCACTGCTCACCCCCAACAAAGCCATCAACCTCTCTGTGCTGGGATCTGCACTGGTTTCCTCCATTTATCTCCCCACCTCTCACCCTTCCATGCTGCAAAACAGCCAGACTGAGGCTACCAGAGAGAAGTCCCACAGGTGTATATCTGCTCAGAAGGTCTTGTCACCCTGCATCTTACTCAGAGAGTTAAACCCTCCCAACATCCTCAAGGTCTGAATGATCCGGGTACACACAGATCCCATCTCAGTTAGCCTCTGCTCCAGCCCTTGGCCTCCTTACTCATGTCAGTTACACAGACACATTCCTGCTCAGGCATCTGCACTGGAGGTTGTCCTGCCTGGACTGAAATTCCCTGCACATCCTTGTGGGTAACGTGTCCATCAAACTTTTTCTCAAAGGTCACTTCAATGAGACCCACACTGACCATGCTGCGAAGGAAACCATCCTGTCCCCACACATTGACTCTGGTCACCTTCCCACATCCCTTACCCACTTCTAACCAGACACCCATGGTTTACTGTCTGATATACTGCCACACAGTCCCCAGTCTCCCCTCCCCACTAGGATACACTCTCCACAGGCTGCAAGTTGTTCATGTTTTTAGATCACCGAGGTTTCCTAGTTGCATAAGCAGTCGGCCACACATCCGGTGCAATAGTTATCAGTGTGTCATCAGTGTAGAGCACCTTCCTGTTCTAGAGACAGTGTCTCTACTAATGTGGCACGTTACACAGGTGTAGATCTTTTGAAATGGGGTTCCTTGGTTTTTATTTTTTTAAGATTTATTTATTTTTGCATCAAAGAACTGGGGTGTAGGTCAGAAGTGTGTGGGTGGGGTTGGTGAGAGGATTCATCAGATACAGAGTGGGGAGCAGAACAGGTGGATTTACTAAAATACACTGCTAAGAGGAGCAGGAGGCAAAACAGGAGAGGTCTGCTGCACTGTATTTGTGTGAGCTCCCTGGTGGGGGATTGAAGTCAGGGTATGGAGGTGATAGAGCTGAGTCTTAACAGCTGGGCGATCAGGTAGGCCCAGGTTCTTAGGCTTATGTGTCCTACTTTTCAGCCAACTATGAAGGTAACTGACTCCATCAACCCATGGGTCTCAATTAGCATCTGCACTGGGGTTGCTACATTTAAGGGCAGGGTTACAGGGAGAAACAGCAGAGGAAAATCGAAATCTATCAGGAACTTATCTAAGTCCATGAGGAAATTATCAAATTTTCCTCTCTAGTAATACAAGGATTTTGTTGGACAAGATGGAAAGAATATTCCAGAAAACAGTCCTAAATGAGGCCAAATCAGATGAGTCTGGAAATTCATTATCACCAGACTCCTGTGTGCAGGGGACTTGCTGGGCCTTTTGTGGGGACAATGACAGATGCTCTGCTGCTGTCAGAGACAGGGACCAAGAAGACATGAGGCCTGGTCTCTAAACATCAAAAAGAATAGACACACACACACACACACACACACACACACACACACAAAGCAGCAAATAGGAATCCATAGAAAGTCTAGACCCTGAGCTGAGCCTGAGCTGATGAAGCCACACAAGCACTCCATGCCCAGACATGACAGCACAAGGCCAGGTGGGGTCTGAGTTCCTGTGATCACAGGCCCTGCTGGACAGGTGCTCCCGAAGGACAAGGACAAAGAAGCAGGGACATGACCAGCTGAGGAGTGACCACGTCAAAGCCCATGATGCACTGAGTACCAACTGGACACAGGCCCTGTTCCCTTCAGCTTCTCACAGCCTCTCCTGCCCCCACTGGCACAGAGTCAGCACAGCAAACACGTGATTCTGCAAGGTTTCCCATTTATTTCTTTTCTTTTTTTTTTAAAGATTTATTTATTTATGCATACAAGAACTGGGGTAAGGCCAGAGGTGTGGGGTGGTGAAAGGAATCATCAGAGACATAGTGGGGAACAGAACGGGCAGATTGACCAAAGTACACTGCTGAGGGGAGCAGTGGGAGAGTCAGGAGAGGTCTGCTGCACCATGTGGGTTGCTCCCTGGTTGGCTGGGAATCAAACTCGTGCTGCATTGGCTTTAGATACCTTCATAGGTTGCGTTTTAACCCTTGCACCACCAGGGAGGCCCTCCCATTTATTTTATTTCAAAATTTAGGAATCATTTTTATTAGCCCCCCAACCCATCAGGCAAGCTTACACAAAGTAATTTCAGAACTCAATTATTATTTTCAAGAGGGAAGTAGTTACTATTCTTGAGGAAAACACAAAAACAGGGGTAGACACAGACTAAGCTGACTCTGCTGGAGCAGGAAAGTCATCAGGGAGAGACACAGGTCAGTGTGGGGAGGGGCCGGTGGACAGGGCTGGGCCAGTCTCCCCACCTCCTCATATTATCTCATAAGAACAGAGACACATTCCGATGCCTTTTGCAGCAAAGGAAACCAGAGGATCTTGAAATTACAAGTGGGGGTGAGAAGAAATCCTGCATCACTCAGCCCCCACAAGGCAGCTGGTTCACACTGAGAAGGAAAAGGATCACAAAAGAATTCAAGAAACACGTATAAGTGTCAGCATTCTCCATAGTCCACCGCATCCTCAGAATGTCCCCCTCACAGCTTCTCCATAACCTGGTCCCACCCTCTCTGTCCCAGTGTTGGGAGCCTGCTACCCTAGGGAGCGGGAGTATTTGAAGAGCACCTGTTTACTCGTAGGGAGTTCCAGGACGTTAGAAGTGTTGCAAACAGAACATCCCAGAACTGACTCCTATTCTCTGAGGACGTGCTGGCGGGTGTGCATGTTCCCAGCTAACCAGGAAAGCTTGTTCCAACAGTAACTGTTTCACCTGTGTAAGCACAAACACAATTGCATGCTATTTTCTTGTTCCTTTGTTCATATCTTCAATAAAAGCTTGGGCTGGGTGAGAGAAAGGCAGAGCTGCTCTCAATGGCTCTCCCCAGCCTCCCCTGCTGCAAATTCATTTAGACTCTGAGTCTTCAGTTATGGCAGAGAACTTCATGGGCTGTCCTGTCTGCAGCACCCCAGCCACTCCCACCGCAGGCCTCCAGGGTCTCACCTTTAGAGGCTGTGAGAGACACATCAGAACCCTGGGAACTGTCGCTGCCTGGGGGGAAACAAAACAGAACCTGGTCAGAGCCACAGAGAGATGAGACCACAGGAGGGACTAAGGTGGGTGACTCCCCCGATGGACTCGATCTACACTGTCCCCGGAGGCTCAGGGGCCAAACCTCTGATCCACACTTACCTGCAGCCTGAGTGTAGCTTCCTCCTTGTCTACCTGTGGGACGAAACATCATGTGAGACCAGGGAGGAGTCAGGCTATGAAGACCTAAAGGAATCCCCTAGTCTTGGACCACAGGGAAGTTTCCAGAACTGTGACTGGACACTTAGGAAATATGAAGAGAGGAGATGAGAGGGCACTGGACCAACTGCCTCCTGGGTCTGCCCTCAGCAGGGACCTTCCCCTCTGCCATTTGCTGGAATCAGGGCCCCATCACCAGTATTACCCAGGTAAATTAATTTTGAAAAAAGCTTTACAAAAGAGGGTTAGCAATCTGCTCCACACTGGGCAACACAAGTGTGTGGGTGGTACTTCCCATGACCAGGTAGGGCAAGTACTACCTGTGGCCTGAAAGCTCCCAATGGACAAGATCCCCCACTCCCTTCCCTACCTGAGCACTTCTTCCTCCACATCACAGCTGCAGCCACCGCAGCTCCAGTGAGCACAGCTCCAAGGAGAACCAGGCCAGCAATGATGCCCACAGTGGGGTGGGTGGAGCCAGTAGGGACAGTGGGCGGAGGAGGGGGCACTGAAAGGGAAGGGAAGGTGAGACCCTGAGCCCCAAGCCCTGATATGATGTTCTGAAGGTCCCAGAAGGGCTCCTAATGCCCCTGAGAAGCTCTGTGCCCACATTTCCTCCTTACCCCAAGTCAGGACTCCGGGCTCCAGCAGCCCCTCATGCTGCACATGGCACGTGTATCTCTGCTCCTCTCCAGAAGGCACCACCACAGCCATCCACTTCTGGAAGGTTCCATCCCCCCCAGGCCTGGTCTCCACTAGCTCTGTGTCCTGGGTCAGGTTCTCCCCATCTCGCTGCCAGGTCAGGGTGATGTCCGCAGGGTAGAAGTCCAGGGCCCAGCACCTCAGGCTGACCTCCTGGTCAGAGGTGAGGTGGTGGGTCACATGTATCTTTGGGGCCTCTGAGGAGAAGGGTGAGAACTTTCACACCCTGGGTTTTTCTCAGGGACCCTGAAATAGCCTCCTGTGACCATCTTCAGAATGGACAGGTCAGTGGGTTTAGTAGAGGAAGCAAAAAAATCTAGGAACCAGCCGGGTCTGAGGAGTCTGGGATAATCTCTTATTCCTTAGAAAGTTCTAGAATTAGGGCAACAGCTCTGGATAGGAGGACACCGTTCTCTACGGAGGAGAGCACAGACTTTTGCTCCTGACCTGGGGACTCAGAAAAGGAGGAGTCAGATCAGAAAAATGTCCTCAGACCAATAACAAGACCCTGAGGGAAAAACTGATGGTTCCCAAGAGGGCTGCCGGGTCAAAAGGATCCCGTGAAGGGTGATTCCAGGGCTGGTCTCCCCTCAGGCTCAGGAGACACTGGATTCCTTAACTGTTCTGAGGAAAAGTGGGGTCCTCTGGGGAGTCAGGAAACCCCGGGGGCTCCTCCTCCCTGACCAGAGAGGGGGCGCTGCTGTGACCCTGACTCCACCCTCCCCGCGGTGCCGGCCTGAGGGGGGTGGGAGACCTCGCGGCCCCTCTTACCTGAGCGCTGCAGCGTCTCCTTCCCGATCTCCAGGTATCTGCGTAGCCACTGCACGCACCTGCCCTCCAGGTAGTTCCTCCGGCGCTCCGCCTCCCCGGTCGCCTCCAACTTGCGCCGGGAGATCTGAGCGGCCGTGTCCGCCGCGGTCCAGGAGCGCAGGTCCCGGTTCAGGGCCAGGTAATCGGCGCCATCGTAGGCGAACTGACTGTACCCGCGGAGGAGGCGCCCTTCGGGCCCCACGTCGCAGCCGTACATCCCCTGGAGGGTGTGAGAGCCTGTCCCCGCCCGCGTCACCTCGCGGTCTCCCCGCCCCCCCCCCCCCGCCCGCGCCCCCCGCCGGGAATAAACCAAAACTGACGCGGGAACCCCGCGGGGAACATCCCGGGGCTCGTCCCGGGTCGAGAGCCTGGCGGGTCCCCCTGCCTCGGGGGACGCTCGGGCCGGGATCTGGGGTCCCCGCCCGCCCGCGGGGGTGGGGTCGTGAGCGCCCCGGGCCCGCCCCGCTCACCGGCCGCGCTCTGGTTGTAGTAGCCGCGCAGGTTGTTCAGGCTGACTCGGAACGTCTGTGCGTGGCCCTTCGCTCTCCGCGTCTCCTCCTCCCAGTACCCCGGGCCCTCCAGTTCCATCCAGGGCGCCCGCGCCTCCATCCTCGGCCCCGCCGCGGCGCTGTCGAACCGCACGAACTGCGTGTCGTCCACGGAGCCCACCGCGATGAAGCGGGGCTCCCCGGGGTCGGGCCGGGACATCGCGGTGAAGAAATACCTCAGGGAGTGGGAGCCTGGGGGCGGGAGGGAGACCCGGGCTGAGCCTCCTCCCGGTGGGTCCCGGGGAGTTGGGGCGGGAGGGGAGGGGGCGAGGGGGCTCCTGAGATTGAAATGGGGCAGTGGAGGAGAAGGCTGGAGACTCAGAGGGGCAAGAGGAGGCAGGAGGTTGGGAGGGACAGAAAGAGGTCAGGGCAAAGTGGGGTCAAGGGAGACAACAGGGTCAGCAGTGGAGGAGAAGCACTTTTCCTGGGGTCCTGCCCCACCCCCAACCCCACCCCTCCTGCAGCCTGGGTTCCTCTGGTTCCCCCTCCTCAGCAGCCCTTTCCCTCCTGAGCCCGCACTCACCTGCCCAGGTCTCTGTCAGGGCCAGGGCCCCTGAGAGCAGCAGTAGAAGGGTTGGGGGGCTCATGATGGGTGCTCTTGGGTCTGGGGAGACTGAGTCCAGACTGGTCAGAGCTGTTAGGCTGATTGCCTTCTCGGAAAACCCTCCAGGCAAGGGTGACAGAGAATGTGCTTAGATCAGGAGTTGTTAGAGAAATGATACAATGTGGAGGAGGGGAATCTCCCCAACAGTAATCTTTGTGGTATAGTTGGAGTCTGAGCGTGTAATGCCTGTACTTTCCTCCCTTCTAGTCAGGAGAGCTTTTGCTATTTGGGGGTTTTTGTGGTTCTGTTAGGGGGAAAGGATGTCCTGAGCAAACTCCACAAGGCTTTGTGGATGCCACCCCCACGCCAAGACACTGGGAACTACAAATTCCATGATCCCCAAGGGGAAGTTGCGAGGACCTAAGAGTAGAGTTCAGCAGCCCTTTTCTCTGTAAATAAAAACCAGCCATGTTAGTGGGTTCTGGGGCACTTGGCTTGTGCTCTTGGTCAGGCAGGTTTGGTCTCGGTGGGTCAGTTGGGATTCCAGGTCAGCGGAATGGGAAGGACACATTTAATAATTTATCTCCTTTTCTCCCTCAGTTGTACGTCTCCTCATTTCCGTTTCCCTTGTAAATAAACCTTTGTAAACCTTTTGTGTGCACCTGTAGTGTAAGTCCCCTTTAAGTGGGGGTGAGGACCCACAGTCAGGCAATCTGTTTTATATTGGGGTTGCCCTGTAACAGTTTGGCGCCCAGCGTGTTTTCCAAGTTACACCGGTGGTTGACAAGCCCAAAGTAAGTCCTTGCGTTGGTCACCTTAAGCGCACTAGTCTGCAGGACACTGTTGAAAGTCTTTGTCCCAGGTCTTGAACAGTTTTTTTTTTTTTTCCTTGCATACGCTCTGTCTGGTCTTTCACTCATGGGCTTAAGGAATCTCATCCCTAGCTTAAATTCATTCAGTTTTATTCTGTCTTGATCTTAGGTAGTCTTTTTCCATTAAACATCACTACCGGTTTTATAAATGTAAATAATTTAGTGAAACCGGGGCTGTGGCACATGATTTGGTTTTTATATACTTATGTGGATGGCTTGCAAGCCATCCCTGCTTTGAAATCTGTGCTTCTGGCTGTTTTTCTGATATTGTGTTGTGAGCACTCTTGGCTACATTATTGCTTCTCTGAGAGCTAGATGCTCCACTCCACCTATTGAGACCATGCAGCAACAAATTCAGACTCTCAGAGTAGTTGTGCAGAGTATGAGGGAGGTTCTGAAAAGTGTGCAGGACCAGACACAGGCTGCCCTCCAAAAATTGGATGTGGGGAGGCTCAGCTAATGGCTCAGAGAAGAAATAAACCTTCCCATTCCCATGAGGACTGCAAGAGGGCAGAATTAGAAGAGGAGGAATATCATTTGTTGCATTCCTTAAACAAACCAGACAGAATCCTCCTCAGTGTAGTGATGTTCCTCCTGTACAGACTCCTGAGGCTTCACAGCCCCCACTGCCCTCCAGGGAAGAAACAAAAATGGCGGCTCCTCCCCACCCTAGAGGTGCTCACTTTTGCATGAAGTGTCACCCCGACGCAGGACAGTTTCCTCTCCCACAGATGCCCATGGGTGGCTTGAATGAACATGGGCAACCTGCTGGGTACTTTTGGTCGCAGCATCTCTTCAGCACCACAGACCTCCTAAATTGGAGGACCTCTGTCCCCTCACACCGGCAGGCTCCTAAGAGGGTGGTGAACTTGTTTGTCTCTGTCTTCCTCTCCCACCGCCCTAATTGGGCAGATATGGAGTCCATGCTTTAAACTTTGCTGACTCTGGATGAGCAGAGAATGGTATTCAGGAAAGCCAGGGAGGAGGCTGACCATCTCCACCAACAGGACAGAGAATCCCCAGAGCCAGAGATGGTTGTCCCAGTGGTAGATCCCGAATGGGACCCCAACAATGGAGGAATGGCAATGTTAGAGCTCTATAAAAAATGTTTACTGGCAGGACTGCAGCAGGGAATACCCAAACAAAAATGTTTTAACAAAATATTACAACTTGAACAAGGAGCTAACGAGGATCCATCGGAGTTCTTTGAGAGAATTATTCAGACGTACACCAACCACATGGATATTAACCCAGATGCCCCACAAAATGCTCATCTAATCACTATGGTATTCATCACACATTGTGCCACAGACATAAGGAAAAAGTTAGCAAAGGTGGACGGCGTCACAAAGATGAGTCCGTCCCAGGTACTGAACTTAGCATTTCGGGTTTGCAACAATAGAGTGGACAGGAGACCGAAACCTGTGACTATTTTCATACAAAGAGAGCACAGGACAGGGTTTCAGGGAAACAGTCAGGGACTGAGACATGAACCCAGGAGAAGTGAACCCCTAGGAAAAAACCAGCATGCTTACTGCAGGGAAGAGGGACATTGGAAGTACAATTGTCCCAGATTCCAGGTAAATGGGAGAGAAAATAATGACAGAAGGCAGGAAAGAAGGCCAAAGACACCATGACATGATGACTCACACACGGGTTACTGGATGGAATATAGATGGAATACAAGGGACCCAGAACCAAGGAGAGAGGAAAGGAGACAAATGATAGCCCAGAGTAGAGGCTCAGATGAGGATAGGAAGGAATACGGACAGAGTAGAAGGAATCAAGAGCCAAGTACAGAGGAAGGGAGACAAATGATAGTTCATAGAGATGGTTCAGATGAACAATAGGGGGCCCAGGAGCTCTACTAGATCTAAACACAACCCAGAGGAAATGACCCAGAGACAAAATCCCACTGGTCTTGTGATCCCATCGAGGACTTGAGATATTTATTTAAGAAAAAGACAAAAACGTCAATGTTACTGACTCTTTTCCAGTTATTATTGCAGGATACCCAAGTATTCACTTTTATGAAGAAACCCTGAGATGAGTAACTTGCTCTAACCAATCTTTCCTTTCAAAGTCTAAGAGATGTGAAATAACGTCTAGAATCATGCATACGCTGGCAGTATTGTTTTTACACAGAAAGGCTTTTGATCTTGATTTTGGTATTTCATTTAAACTTCATTTTTGCCTATGAGTGAAACTGCAGTTGTATGAGATATTCCACGCGTGATAAATGGTAACTGAAGAGCTCTTTGTGTCTATATGTTGTATGTCTGTATGTCCTTTCCTTGTGTTCTTGTCTTGGCTTCTAGAGGTTGACAAATTGGTATACATGGTGCCTATAAACATTGAAAAAAATATTAAAGGTTATGGTTTGATTGTCAACATTGTACGACTGAACTAAGCCGGTACCTTCATAGAGATGGAATATTGTTGTTGCTGCTGTTTTCTGGTATTTATGGCAAGCTTCCCAGAAATCTAAATTCAAGTAAAAATTTGGTAGCCTGTCATTTAGATGATAGAAGGAAATTTTGTGGAAACTCAGTAGAACTACTGAGACACTCCACAAAGTGTCTCCCTTTCCTCTTGGGAAAGGCATTAGATGAATTTGCCCTATTTGGCTTACCCAGTAAAATAAAACTAGAAGGGAAGCATTGTCACTTGGGAAAAGGGTAGCACTTTGACATGTACAGAAATGTTCACATTGGTTTTCTAAAACATGTATAAAACCTCTCAGTACCTGGTAAGTATGTAAATTGTCAATGGTGATTGTAGCCTTGTAATATTGTATACTTCAATGGTTTGCTATCTACAGAAATTGTTTCTGTAAAAAAAATACACTTGGCCTAATAGATTCCTATTGATGGAACTTTTGATGGGTTAAAAATTTTTTTCCTACAAAGGACTGAATAGACTGTTGGAGATACACCTGATTTTTACTAAGTTTTGACATAATACTGGTAATTTTGTTGCATTTTTTTCTGATTCAACAAAATTTTCTTGTTGTGACTCTCCAGGACCTGCAGCAATATTGATTTTTTTTTTTCAGCAGAGCTAACTTGTGTTTGCATTTCCTTTCCCCTTGATACCAACACAGCATGAAAATAGTGGTAGTAATTTTTACTACTTATGTCAGTGTCTATTTTTCCATAACTTCCATAGGGATTTTGTCTGCTTAAAACAAACAAACAAAAAAATGGACATCAATGTCATTGTGTGGCTGTGAATGGAATCTTCCAGAAAGGTGAAACAGAGCTGAACCAAGAAGAAGAGAACCTGCTGCTTTGTCCGTAAGGCTCCAGAGATCTCCAAAGAAGGTGAGGAAGCTGCCTCCATTGGCAGGACTGGACAACCTGGAAAAAGAAAAAAAGCCATGGTACCCTCGAGAAGAGGAAAGCCCAGGTGGAGTCTGATGAGATCAACTATGTTCCTGAAGCCTACATGGACCGGATGTCAAGAGTTCGCTCTGATCTTGTATGGAGTATTCCAACAAAGCCAGCTAAAATTGTTGTTTAGTTATTCTGCCCTATGATTTTATGCAAAAATAGGTAAAATGGTTTAAAAGTAGATTTAGTTTGTAAAGTTTTGCTATGCTGTTGAAACAATTTGGGATCAAGGTTGAGAGAACTTGTTTTTACATAAGATGAATCAATTTTAATATTTTTTTCCTGTGATTTGATATCTTTGCTGTCTTGTTTTAGCTAATGCCTCCAGATATTTTTTTTTTTCTTTTGGCTTGGATACTGGGCTATTTTCCAGTAATGGAAAACTGTCATACTGGACATTCATGGACAATGCTGCTGACTAATTGTTGCTTCTCTTACAAACATTGTAACCCTAAAAAAAGACTGTCTCCTAAGACTACACCCTGAGATCTGTGCCACCATAGATATGGTGGAATAAAAATTAAAAGGGGGGATTGTAACAGGGTGGTCCCCAAGAAAGGGGGAGGTCCCAGGTTCCCTGCCCCACCCAAAGGAGGGTGGAGCTGAGCAGGGAGAGAAGAAGCTGCAGAGGAGACTGAGGAAGGAAGGAAGCAGGATGGAGCCAGAAGGAGACCTAGAGGAGGCACATGGAGCCAAGAGATACGTGAAGAAACTGCGCTTGCCTTTTGGTCGTGGACTGGGTGATAAAGATGCTAAGGAGTGAGAAAGGGGCTGGGACTTCCAGGAAGAGGAGGTTACTTATTT